AAAGATGGACAGTGGGAGGAGAGCGGGATGACAGAGGATGAGATGGTTGGATGGCATCACTGACTTGATGGACATGAATGTGAGCAAGCTCTGGGAGTTGGTGATGGGCAGGGAAGCCCGACGTGCTGCAGTGCATGGGATCGCAGAGTCAGACACGACTGAATGACTGAACTGAACTTGACTCCATTTCTCCCTGCAATTGTTTTTGCTTGACAGAGGGCTTCCCTGGTGGGTCAGATGGTAAAGAGTCTACATGCAATACGGGAGACCAGGGTTCAATCCCTGGGTCAGGAAGATCCTCTGGACAAGGAAATGGCAACTCCTTCAGTGTTCTTGACTGGAAAATTCCATGGACAGAGGAGCCTGGTGGGGTACAGCCCATGGGGTTGCAAAGAATTAGACACAACTGAGTGACTAACACTTTCACTTTAGTGAAATTGAGGCATGGAGACATTAAGTAATTTGCAAGCTCATACAGCCAACAAGTGGGCTTCCCTGGTAGCCCAGCTGGTAAAGAATCTGCCTGCAATGCAAGAGACCCTGGTTTGATTCCTTGGTGAGGAAGATCCCTTGGAGAAGGGATAGGCTACCCACTCCAGTATTCTTGGACTTCCCTGGTAGCTCAGACTATAAAGAACCCACCAGCAATGTGGGAGAACGGGGTTTGATCCCTGGGCTGAAAAGATCCCCTGGAGGAGGGGATGCTGTCTCTAGTCCATGGACTCGCAGTGTCAATCTCGGTCTCCCAACTCAGCCCACCTCCCTTCCCCCCTTGAGGGGAAACCATAAGTTTGTTTTCTACTTCTGTGATTCTATTTCCCCTTTGAAAATAAGTATTGTTACCACTTCAGGATTGTTGCCTGGAGAATCCCCATGGAGAGGGGAGCCTGGAGGGCTAGAGTCCATGGGGTCACAAAGAATCGGACATGACTCAGCAACGAAGAACAGCACAATCAGTGAGTCTGACTCTGGAACTCCTTGGCACTTATATTCTTAACTGCTGTCATTTACTACTTCTTGTCCAAGAGTAGGGAGCAGTTGCCCTGGTCATTTTAGCCACCCAAGCAATGCTTCAGATGTAGGTAGCTAGTTAAAAGAATTTCCAGTCGTCGTATCATAAGAAGTCCTAGGGAGTTAGAAGCATACCCTTTTTCTGGAGATTTAGACTCAGTAGTGAAACTGAGCTGTGTCACTCAGCCCTTGTGGGCTCCTGGACTTAAAAGCCTCTCAAAAATTTTTAAAGATTTATTTATCTTTGGCTGCACTGGGTCTTTGTTGCTGTACGCAAGCTTTCTCCAGTTGCAACATGTGGGCTATAGAGCATGCCTGCGTTAGTAGGTGTGGCTCATGAGACCACTTGTCCTGTGGCATGTGGAATCTTCCTATGCCAGGGACTGAAACTGTGTCCCCTGCATTGGCTGGCAGGCTCTTAACCATTGGACTACCAGGGAAGTCCACATAAGTCTTTCTGTGTCCCCCATTTCTTGGTTACAGGAAATAGACTTCATTCAAGCCTCCATGACCTTTGCTGAGTTCCAGTTCAGTACAGTTCAGTCAGTCAGTCGTGTCCAACTCTTTGAGACCCCATGGACTGCAGCATGCCAAGCTTTCCTGCCCATCACCAACTCCCGGAGATTACTCAAACTCATGTCCATTGAGTTGGTGATGCCATCCAACCATCTCATCCTCTGTCACCCCCTTCTCCTCCTGCCTTCCATCTTTCCCACCATCAGGGTCTTTTCCAATGTCAGTTCTTCACATCAGATGGCCAAAGTATTGGAGCTCAATTTCAGCATCAGTCCTTCCAATGAATATTCAGGACTGATTTCCTTTAGAATGGACTGGTTGGATCTCCTTGAAGTCCAAGGGACTCTCAAGAGTTTTCTCCAACACCACAGTTCAAAAGCATCAATTCTTTGGCACTCAGTTTTCTTTATAGTCCAACTCTCACATTCATACATGACTCTTGGAAAAACCATAGCTTTGACTAGATGGACCTTTGTTGGCAAAGTAATGTCTCTGCTTTTTAATATGCTGTCTAGGTTGGTCATAGCTTTTCTTCCAAGGAGCAAGTGTCTTTTAATTTCATGGCTGCAGTCACCATCTGCGGTGATTTTGGAGCCCCCCAAAATAAAGTCTCTCACTGTTTCCATTGTTTCCCCATCTATTTGCCATAAAGTGATGGGACTGGATGCCATGATCTTAGGTTTTGGAATGTTGAGTTCCAGTGGGCAGGTCCAAATAGTGAGGGGGCGGGGAGGTGGGATGGATGCAGAGACAAGGAAGGAACAGTCAAGAAACAGTAGTGCAGCCTTGGGGCAGGGTCCTGGCTCCCCCTCAAGGGATGCACATAGCAATATCCTTGAGCTGTTTTGCAGATACTGAAATCCCTACCGGGTGGGATATGTTAATTGCATGTTGCCCACAAGCACGTAGACCGCAGACCAGTTGGAACCAGGAGGTTGATCATGCTGACTTCAAGTTGCCTCCCCACCATCAGAAGAATATTCATGAGCTGATCACACCCTCCTCTTTGAATCATTCCTATAAAACTTCTCACTACCCCTTCCAGGTCTTAACATACAGTTTTGAGGACATTAGCCCACTGTGGCCCTCTTTGCCCAGCAAAGCAATAAAGCTCTTTTTTCCTACTTTACTCCAAACTGTCTCCAAGACACAATTTGGTGATGTGGTACAGAGGCCGAATTTCAGGTACAGCAGCTCCAGTCTGGAAATTGTATTTTTAGCAGGTTTGACAAACACTGGCTTAGTAGTTCATTTTAATGATTTTTTTTTTTTTTTTTTGCTGGACAGATACTAAAACAGATGGGCTGCTGCTTCACTACTTTCCTGGGTGTGTGTCACCTTGTGCATATCATTTCATCTCTCTGGGCATCAGTTTCCTCTTCTGATTAATGCAGCGAATGATAGCGCCATCCCCTGAGGTTTTTGTGTGGATTAAGTGAGCTGGTGTGAAGTGCTTAACAATCTCAGATGCTTAATGAGGGGTAATGTGTCACCCAGCAAGGACTCTTGTGTCCATGGTGCAGAAAGCCAAACTCTAAAGTTGGGTGTTGCCATGGAATATTACTCAGCCATTAAAAAGAATTCATTTGAATCAGTTCTAATGAGATGGATGAAACTGGAGCCCATTATACAGAGCGAAGTAAGCCAGAAAGATAAAGACCATTACAGTATACTAACACATATATATGGAATTTAGAAAGATGGTAACGATAACCCTATATGCAAAACAGAAAAAGAGACTCAGATGTATAGAACAGACTTGTGGACTCTGGGAGAAGGGAAGGGTGGGATGTTTCAAGAGAACAGCATCGAAACATGTATATTATCTAGGGTGAAACAGATCACCAGCCCAGGTTGGGTGCATGAGACAAGTGCTCGGGCCTGGTGCACTGGGAAGACCCAGAGGGATCGGGTGGAGAGGGAGGTGGGAGGGGGGACCGGGATGGGGAATACATGTAAATCCATGGCTAATTCATTTCAATGTATGACAAAAACCACTGCAATGATGTAAAGTAATTAGCCTCCAACTAATAAAAATAAATGGAAAAAAAATCAAAAAAAAAAAAAGAGAGAGGACATCATGTACACCTATGGTTAATTCATGTGGATGTATGACAGGACTCAAACCAATTTGTAAACAAATCATCAATCAATTAAAAATAAATATTTGCTTAAAATGCTAAAAATAAAATAAAATAAAGTTGGGTGTTGGCAACAAAGTAGAGTTTATTTGTAGGGGGTAGCAGCTCATGCTCAAAAGACACAAATAAACTGATGGCTTTCTAGCAAGGGTTTTTAAAGACAGTGTTAGGCAAGAGTGTCTAGAATGCTTATAGACTTTCTTTTGATTGGTTGGTGGGGTAACAGGGTGATGTTTCTGAAATTTTAATCTTCTGGTTCCAACCAGTCTGGAATCTTGTGCTTGTGGTAAGCATGTAGTCACCACCCTCCACCTGAGTTGAGGGGTGTCTTCATATACATCAGGTTGTTTATCTACATTCCTACAGAATCTGGTGACTCTGCTGTCTTAATCATTAACTGCTTGAGCCTGCTCTTTGGAACTCAACAGAGGCCTCAGAGGCTAAAGCCTTTTTTTTTTTACCCCCTACAAATAAACAAGGGAACATGGCAGGGTTTTTCTATCCTGGAAGGCCCCAGTCCTGGTTGGTTTCAGTCTCCCCTATTCTTTGATAGTCCTCAATCCTGACGGGAACAAGGGCTAGACAGAAAGAGAATAAAATCACAATTTGGTACAAGAACTCAATTTTAGGGGGATTTGGTTTCCAACGGAATGATGGTGGTGGTGCTGATGACAAGCAAAACTGAAGCTGCTTCCGAATGAAATGGCAGCGATCACAGCAGATGGCTTGTAGAACGTCCTGTCTTATTCCCCAAGGACAGGGCTGGGTCCTTTGGGCCAGATAAAATACAAGTCCCCACTTAAACTGTTGTTTCAGATAAACAACTACAAAGATTTAAGTACAGTATCTTGCAAATTACATACGACATACTTATCATTCATTGCTTATCTGAAATTTCAGTTTAACTGGGTGTCCTGTAATCTTGGGATTCCCCGGTGGCTCAGAGGGAAGAAGAAACCGCCTGGAATGCGGGAGACCTGGGTTCATCTCCACTTGTTAAACCCGGAACCCCCACCTTTAGCGAAGGGCTAACCCCACGCCTGAGCCCAAATTCACTCCCTCTGCCCACGCATGCGACTGGCAAGTGGCCTCCACTCGCCAGGAGCCCCAGTCGATTCCAGAGGGGTCTCTCACGTTTCCGCCCCGCTCAGACAGCACTAGTGGAGCCCCGAGCGACCGAGTCCTGTGCGCCCGCCGGCCCGGCCCCGCCCCGCCCCAAACAGAGGGCGCAGCCCCCAGCCGGGCAGGCCCCACCCGGCGCTTGGGCAGTTAGGAGTCTCGCAGCTCCTTGCTACGCAGCGGACTCAGTGGAGGCCAAAATACTCGTTCGCCATGTCGGCTGCAGAGGCGGGGGATGTTTTCCACAGAGCGCGGGGCAGGACCCTGGACGCCTTTTCCTCAGGTACTTCCTGCTGGGGAGTGGGTGGTTTCAGGGCTGCGGAACATTCGGCGCGGGGAACGTTAGGTTGAGATGCACACCTCCAGCCGGACCCCAGTGGGGGCTGCACCCCGGGGGCTGGGGACCGCAATAGCAACCGCACCTCCCGCACGTGGGGCTTCCAGGGGCGCCTGTGAGAGAGGCGTTCCTGGGCTTGGGGGTCTGACAGTCCTGGAACCTCTTTGGCCTTGACCGAGGTCTCGGAGAGAAGATAAAAGTGAGGCAGCAAAACAGTTGATAGCGCGGGCTGTGCAGTTAGACTTGGTTTCTAAGTCCTGCCTTGGATACGTGGCTCAGGGAATGTTAGCCTCAGTTTCCTTATCTGTAAAGCGGGAATAAAACAGCGAGGTTCTGTGTGGCACGGGATAAGCGCTGGGTGCACGTGCGATGCGGTTATTTTTATTATGGTTGTTGACCATGATGCAGTTTTATACTCCATAATCATGGTTATCTTCTACAATATGAGTCATTCACCCAAATGTTAGCAGTGCCTTCAGAGCTAAGAGAGCGGGGAGGCAGTCAAGAGTTGTGTTCTAGTTACCTGCTTGGACTTTGGAGTTAGCTAATTCTCCTCGCTGTGAGAATGGGTTTGTTAATGCTTACCTCACAGGAGAGAGTTAGCAGGTTCAAAGAATTTCTGTAACCCGGTTCCTGACACAGGCCAAGTGCTGAGTGAATGTTCACTCCGGAGCCCCAAGAGAGACCACTGTTCCCGTTCCTTGCTCCTCCCTGCCAGTTTTGCTGCGTGGAGTCACCTTCCCTCCCATGAACTCGCCGGTTTTTGTCACCCTGGGGAAGTCACCCCAGATGCCCTGTACAATCCGGCTTGTGCTCACCTTTATTGCTTCACGCTCGCTATTCTTCTTGTTCAATTCTGCTTCACTGGGCTTCTTGAACTCCTATTTTAAAAGGCCAGGTCCTTTCACTCTGTGGTGGTTTAGTTGCTAAGTCGTCTCTGACTCTTGCAACCCCATGGACTGTAGCCTGCAAGGCTCCTCTGTCCATGGGATTTTCCAGGCAAGAATACTGGAGTGGATTGCCATTTCCTTCTCGAGGGGATCTTCCCGACTCAGGAATTGAACCCAGGTCTCCTGCATTGCAGGCAGATTCTTTACCAACTGAGCTAATAGCTGGCTGATGGGTCTGGCTCTTTCTCAAACCTTCCTACCTTAATTAAAGTTTGATCACTTTCTCAGACAAATTTTCCCTTGGTCACCGTTACTAAAATAGGTGTTTTTTTTTTTCCCCCTGTAACTCTGTTTTAAAGTTTTGTTCTTTTATCTTCTGCAACTGTTGGTGGGAGAGTAGGGAAGGAGGCAGGGCTCTGGAAGAGCGTATGGGGCCGGAGAGCTGGTTGAGGTGGATTTTAAAATACAACCTGTTATAGTGCCCATTCTCTAAATAGTGTTTTAATGTGCCTTTTTCACTTTTTTGAACCCAAGTTCATGTGTGTGATGCACAGTGAGGCCAAACAAACCAAAATATCAGAGTTTGGAGCAGAGGAGGGTTTATTGCAGGGCCAAGCTAGGAGAGCAGGTGACTCATGCTCAGAAGACTCCAGGTCCCGCTGGTTTTCAGGGAAGAGGTTTTGGTTCTTTTTTAAAGTTTTTTTTCTTTTTTTTTTTTTTAACGTGGACGATTTTTTGGCTGGGAGGCATGTGGAATCTCAGCTCCCTGACCAGGGATTGTAAGGGGGAGTGTTAACCACTGGACTGCTAGGGAAGTCCCTCTGGGAAGAGTATTTAAAGGCAGCAGTTGGGGAGACAACTGCAGGGTGAACAACTTTCTTCTGTTTGGTTTCTGGTGAGGTAACAGGGTAGGGCCCCAGGAATCTCAGGCCTCAGCCTCTAGTTCTAACCAGTCTTGGGGGTTTCACTATGTTAGTTATCATCCTCTACCTGGCGGGTGGGGAGGGCTGCAGAACTCAAAAGACTGGATCAGATTTTTATGCTCCTCCCTTGTGGAGGGACTGGGACTCTGTTTTATCCCATCACTATTGTTTCTTGACTTTTCCCTTCGTTTCTGCATTCCCTCAAGTCCCTCATTATTAACCCCTTGAATCTGTTCTTGGGAACTCAGGGAAGGTCTGGGAGACAAAAGCCTTTTCTTCAAACAAGAAATGAGGGACACAGGCTTTCGTTTTTTGGAGGACCCCTCAGGTTCCTTCTCTGTTTCAATCCAGTGTGAGGTTTTTGAGATTTATCCATGTTGGTATAAGTAGCTCTTTAAGAATTTTCCACAGTTCATTGCTCATTTTCTTACTGGGCAGTATTCCATTATATAAGCATATATCAATACTTGATACATTCTGTTGCTAGATATTCTGAGGATCTTCTCTTTGCTTTCCAAATCTACACTCTCCCTTCTCCACCAAAATCTGAAAGATTGACCTCCATGGGCTTCATCCATGGGCTCCTTGCCCTTGGGCCTTCTGTTGGGTTGAGCCAATGGGGCGTCCCATTTGGAGACCAGAGGGATGGGAAAGCTAAAGTGTTTATTCCCCTGACTTTTTCGCTGTGGAGCTGCCTCTGGCTGGCTGTGCAGTTCAGTCACTCAGTCGTGTCTGACTCTTTGCGACCCCATGGACTCAGCACACCAGGCTTCCCTGTCCGTCACCAACTCCTGGAGCTTGCTCAAACTCATGTTTATCAAGTCAGTGATGCCATTCAACCATCTCATCCTCTGTCGTCCCCTTCTCCTCCTGCCTTCAATCTTTCCCACCATCAGGGTCTTTTCCAGTGAGTTGGCTCTTTGCATCAGGTGGCCAAAGGATTGTAGCTTCAGCTTCAGCATCAGTCCTTCCAATGAATATTCAGGACTGATTTCCTTTAGGATTGACTGGTTGGATCTCCTTGTAGTCCAAGGGACTCTCAGGAGTCTTCTACAGCACCACAGTTCAAAAGCATCAATTTCTTTGGTGCTCAGCTTTCTTTATGGTCCAACTCTCACATCCATACATGCCTACTGGAAAAACCACAGCTTTGACTAGACAGACCTTTGTCAGTAAAATAATGTCTCTGATTTTTAATATGCTGTCTCAGTTGGGCATAGCTTTTATTCCAAGGAACAAGTGTCTTTTAATTTCATGGCTGCAGTCACCATCTGCAGTGATTTTGGAGTCTCCAAAAATAAAGTCTCTCACTGTTTCTGTTGTTTATCTATTTGCCATGAAGTGATGGGACCTGAAGCCATGATCTTAGTTTTTTGAATGTTGAGTTTTAAGCCAAGTTTTTCATGCTCCTCTTTCCCTGGCTGTACTCCTCCCCTGAAATTTGCTGCTTCTTTCAACATGGCCTTCCTGCTGGAACTCTCGTTTCAGATTTGGGTAACCGCTTCCTCCCTCCTTTCAGACGGAGTTCTGCTTTTCTGTGTTGGACTACTAAACTGTCCTTTGATGTTCTACACTCAACTCATCCCAAATAATCCCCCTTTAAATGCTCCTTTAATTGTCATAATTTGAACATGCCAGCTATTTCCTGCGAGGATCCTGATATGATGGACATTCAGTTCTTTCTGTTTTTCACCTTTGGTAACAGTGCTGTTATGAGCATTCTGGTACAAGTCTTCTTGTGGACACATGGGAAAATTTCTCCAAGGCATCCATCCAGGAGAGCAGAGTTGTGGGTTGCAGGATAAAATCTTTCCAGCTTTACTAGATCGTGTCACATCGCCTTCTAGAATACTTGCACCAACTTATATTCCCACTAGCAGGGTATGAGAGTTCCCTGTGACTCTGCCCTGTCTCTTTTCAGTTCAGGAAATATTTATTGCAGTCCTACTGCATTCTCTGGTATCTTGTGGAGAGTAGAAAAAAGCAAGGGGAAGGCAAGGACCCATAACCTAAGCACAAAGCTACGGCACAAAAAATAGGTCACTGCAGTGGGAGTTGGGATTTTAAGCGTTGGTCCTGGGTGTTGGTGAGACTCATAACATAAATCGGGGAGCAAGGAGGAGGGTTAGATATGATGGGATTGATTGGGAAGTGGTGGCTTCGAAGTGCCTTCAGGAAATCTGGGGCAACCTGGAGGATGCAGTGCACAGCTGGGGATGGAGGTGTGGGTGCTGCCATCCCCAGAGAGGCAAGTAGATGGTATGGCTGTAGGAGTCAGTGGCATTGCTCAGGGGAAAAGTGTGGAGTAGTGGATGGTGTGTGTGTGTGTGTGTGTGTGTGTGTGAGCTTAGGATATGCCTCCGTTTAGGGGGTAAGAAACAGGAAAAGACACACGGAAGGTCTCCGAGCAGAAAGCAAGCAGACATTTTGGAAGATAAACCCAAGAACCGGCCTTGGTACCAAAGTTGGGGAGGGGGACTCAGGCAGGGTGGTGCACAGGCTCAGATGCTGCAGACATCTAGGTGAGTGGTAGCTGAGCAGGTGTGATTGTTCTGTCACCTTCGGGAGGACAGTTTCAGTAGAGTTGTAGGGGGAAGCCGGGGGCATGGTGCTTGAGGAATGGCAGAGAGTGAGGATGTGCAGTCCGCAAGCATAGGATTCTGTTTGAAGCCCTTCGGTGCTGCAAGGTTGACGTAGGACACTAGCAGTTTGAGGAAGGAGCAAGGCTGTTGGAAGACTGAAGGGTTTGCAACAGTAGTACAGATGATAAGAACAATAGGAGCATATAACATCTATCAGCTGTTTATGTCTTGCCAGGCACTGTATTCTGTGCTGTGTGTGGACTGTCTCAAGTGAAAGAAAGTGAAAGTTGCTCAGTTGTGTCCAACTCTTTGTGACCCCACCCCATGACTGACTGTTTGGTCCATGGAACTCTCCAGGCCAGACCACTGGAGTGGGTAGCCGTTCCCTTCTCCAGGAGATCTTCCCAGCCCGGGGATCAAACCCAGGTCTCCCGCATTGCAGGCAGATTCATTACCAGCTGAGCCACAAGGGAAGCCTATAGACTATCTCATGTGATCTTCAAAACAGTCCTGTTGAACTAGCTATTATGATTATCTTCTTTCTATAGCGG